GGTCTTCCTGCATCGTGCCGTCTTGCTTCCACAGTTCCCGTTTCACGGATACGACGAAATGCTGCAGTAAATACTCGGACGTGTGGTATACGACGGTCAGGAAAACGTATTGCGTATTCTCGTTGAGCCGCCGCTGCATCCCCATTACAAAATCCGTAACAGAACATAATGTCCGCATATTCGTTAAATTCGAACGTAGCCATGTAAAACCAAAGTTTTTTTTATGATGACAAAAATTATGTTCTAAATGTTCTAAACTGAACGAGCGAGATCAGAAAGACAAATGAGAATATCCTAATAGGCATTTTATTGTCATATCGAAATGTCAAAATTTTCTTAACTGCCAGTTAGCAAGAAGTTGCAAGATATTAACATCCACTTTTCTAGAAAATTAAAGTCTCCTCGGTTTTTAAGTCAGCTACACACACGTTTGGAATGCAAAACCTTTTTACTGTAATTATTATGCTGCACCTGCGTAGCAATCATGTCGTAGCATTTATTGGGTCGACGGGTCAGAAGTCGTAAAAACGTTGATATCTAAATCTAAAAACAAAAAATAGCAAATTAGCTTGTCACTAGACTCCGATTTATGTTTTTGTCTGACGAGTGACAAATGATTGTGTGGGTAAATTCTTGTGCTTTAGAAGGCACGTGTCCAGAGCTTTAAACAGCCTAAAAAACTGAAATGATAAATCTTTGTCGGAGTTTTTAAACCACCTACTACAAGTATTAGACCTCTGCTATGGTAGTGTTACGACCACCGTCTGCGTTTATTAGACATCAATCGAGGCCGATGGTTAAATATGCCCTCCGGAGCACGATATTTTCTTACGGACAATCATGTGGTTCAACGTGATTTTTTAAACCAAACTGGGAAAAATTCACTAAGTGTTGAATATCAACCTTGTAGGTCAACTCACGGGAATCGAACCTGGAACCACAGACTCCTGAGGGGAATGCTTCACCCATTAGACCACGAAAATACTTGAAAAAGTTGTCTAAACAGCATTTGCTGACTTTGGCGTAGTCGACCGACCATAGTCAATTGCCTTGTTTCGCACACCGCTTTTTGCATTAATGCTAATCATTTTTATGAAAACATGTTTGATTGTAGATAATTGTACCTTTTCGGTTAGCTAATGAAACAGAGAACTCTGTTATGAAGTTTTTACGGATTATTCCATAGTGATTTTTTACAGTAGATTACCATGAATGTTGAAAAAAATCCCTTTCCACCAAAATATTTTCTTGTTTTGGCGCTGTATTTTAAAAAATAAGAGTATTTCTAACTAAACTTGTAACTAAAATGATTCTCCTATTTATTCACTATGAGATCATGTCAAAAAACTATGCATAAAACGGTTTGGCTAGCTTTCGCATGACTTTTAAAGTTGAAATCGGGAAATTTTCTTAAAAAAATCAAAAGTCCTAATAATTTTGTAACCAATCATTTCCGACCCCTGGTTTCATGGAAGAATATGTTGGAAATGGCCCCCCCTCTAACCACCTTCAGGGAATGCATCGAATTTCCAGTCACCCTGTATACCTAGGCTTCGAATTACGGCACAGTACTTTTAATGATATGATATAATGTTACTAGGAATGACGTGTATTTTTGCTTCAATTTATGTTCGATCATTATGTCGTTCAGTTTTCATTTAACTTTGAGTTTAACATCAATCAAGCCTAATACAGCACGACTGCCTATATGTCCTAGTTTCTTTTATAAGTAAGTTTTTATTCTTCAATTTACTTAGGCAAGTACATTTATAAACGTAATCATTATTAGTAGTAGGTAAGTACTTACTCGTAGTGTAGAGTAGACCATGAGGTTGGTGTTGGTATGTGACAGGATGCTGTCGGCTGGAGAGGGCTGGTCGTTCCACGTCAGCGGAGCCACAAAATAGAGAGTTTACAGAACGTTCACTCGACCCTATTCGGGATTTTTGCGATTGTCATTTGTTACTTAGCCAGGGTTGCTAAAGTAAAAGAATATCAAACCAGCAAAATCTGATACAAGAACGTCATCCGATTCTGTGTAAATTTAAATCCAAGAAATATGACGTTCGTGGCAACCATCTTCTTAGTTACCTACCTCGAGTTCCCCTGAGTCAGAAAGCGTCAAAATCGTCGCTAGTACTGAGTGAGCCATCTGTATAGGCGCGAGCGCGCCGTTTCCCTGATTTGTGGTGGAGCCGTGTAGTATTCCGTAGAGGTATGTCGCAGTTACTTACTCTTCAGCTCTACAACTTCATCGGGTCGTTGGGCGACTTGATTTTCCACTTGAAGAAGAAGAAGACTTACTCGTAATGTAGAGTAGACCATGAGGTTGGTGTTGGTATGTGACAGGATGCTGTCGGATGGAGAGGGCTGGTCGTTCCACGTCAGCGGAACCACAAAATAGAGAGTTTACAGAAGGTTCACGCGACCATATTCAAGATTTTTGGGTTGGGTTGTCAGGGTCGCTACTGTCAAAAATCTCAAAGTATAAGAATATCAAAACAGCAAAATCTGATGCAAGAACGTCATCTGATTCTGTGTAAATTTTAATCCAAGCAATATGACGTTTGTGGCAACCATCTTCTTAGTTACCTTGAGTTCCCTGAGATTCCAATTATTTCCAGTTAAAGTCAGCAAGCGTCAAAATCGTCAATAGTATTGAGTGAGCCATCTGTAATAGGCGCCCCGCGCGACGTTTCTCTAATTTGTAGCGGAGCCGTGTAGTATTCCATAGAGGTATGTCGTAGTTAAATACCAAATTTTAAAACACGTCTCGTGTTAGGTATACTATTTTTGGAAAACTTGCAAAATTTTCCACCATAGGCAGGATTTGAACCTACGACCTTCGGCATCTGTATATCGTAGTTACTTACTCTTAGTGTAGAGTAGACCATGAGGTTGGTGTTGGTATGTGACAGGATGCTGTCGGATGGAGAGGGCTGGTCGTTCCACGTCAGCGGAACCACAAAATAGAGTTTACAGAAGGTTCACTCGACCCTAATAAAGATTTTTGCGATTGCCACATGCACATAGCCAGGGTTGCTATTGTCAAAAATCTTAAAGTAAAAGAATATCAAAACAGCAAAATCTGATACAAGAACGTCATATGATTCCGAGCAAATTTTAATCCAAGATATATGTCGTTCGTGGCAACCATCTTCTTAGTTACCTTGAGTTCCCCTGAGATTCCAATTATTTCCAATCGTCGCTAGTACTGAATGAGGAATGAGTCATCTGTATAGGCGCACCGCGCGACGTTTTTCTAATTTGTGGCGGAGCCGTGTAGTATTCCGTAGAGGTATGTCGCAGTTACTTACTCTTCAGCTCTACAACTTCATCGGGTCGTTTGGCGACTTGGTTTCCCACTTGAAGAAGAAGAAGAAGACTTACTCTTAGTGTAGAGTAGACCATGAGGTTGGTGTTGGTATGTGACAGGATGCTGTCGGATGGAGAGGGCTGGTCGTTCCACGTCAGCGGAGCCGTGTAGTATTCTACTTGTTCATGCTGTAATAGAGAAACATCGTTATACATGGTGTTAATTTAAATGCATGCCATAGCTTAAGAGAAGGTTCATTATCTATAAAGGAACCCGTAAAAAATAGATAAGGTTACTTTTAATTAAGTACAGATATTTAAGGGCTTGTTCTACTCACAAAACGAAACATTATTCATTAGAATTTTTTCTTCGAAAACAAAATTTTTTAGACTTTTCTTACAAACGTGTTGGAAAAGTTCGTCACTTACTATGGGAGACCTAAATTATTTTTCTTACTTCGGAGAAGTTTCTAATAAAAGTAGTACAGTTTTGTAAGTAAAACACGCTTCTTTTTCTTTTTCGAGTGGGACACCAATTCGTCCAACGTCCCGATGAACCCTGGTGTCTGAGTATTTCAACCGCCGCCTACTGCAAGTAGCAGGCCTCTGACATGGTTGTGTAACAACCGCCGTCTAAATGATTATAGACAGCATCCGGGACCAACGTGCCCAACCGAAGCACGGAACCACTTTCTTTTCGGGCAATTAAGTGGTTCAGCCTGCAATGTTCTAACCAGACTGGGAACAAATTCATAAAGTGATAAATATCAAGTTTGTGAGTGACCCCACCGGAAATTGAACCTTCCGGGTTCCTTCTGCGTCGTAGGCAGTCGTACTAACCACTGCGCCACACAGCTGTCACAGTAAAACACGCTCATTACATAGTAAAAAAAGTTACCATATATCGGTCGTTGTCATTGGCCACGTCCATTTCACAGCCGAGCATCACGAATTTGGTAAGGCAGTGAGAGTTCTTAAACACCAGACCTTCCGTTATGATCCTGGAAAAATTATATGAGCGCTGGGTCAAAATAGCATCACCTCATTTCTGCATATATCTAGAAGTGATGTATATGGTGACCAAGGGATAGATTCAAAAAACGTGCAGCAGTTTTCTGTGATTAACATCTTTAAAAGTGGTGAGCTGGTGAGAAAAGCAATATCTCCAGTAGTAGACTGTTGTGGCTGTTGATGATGAATTAAGCAATTAGGGAGTTAATAGTATTTCCTTTCACATTTATGCGTCAAGACTTACTTTTTTTTTACTAAAAGCATTTATTTCATAAATTGTTTCGTTATATTTTTTTACATTCATTGACCAAATTGTCTGTACTTACAAAGAATATACTTTCTTAATCTAATTCTTTATTTGAGGTGGCAATGCCACTGGCTTCACAACTCCTTTGAGTCCTATTTCGCCAATATCAAACTATATTATGTATTACAAACTACAAAAAAGCAATAAATAAAGTAGACAAAGCAATGTGACACTACGCCAGGGGCGAAGGCCGAGGGAGAGTCGATTAGTGGCTCCTGTAGAGTGGTAGTCTTCTACAGGAACCGAGGTCATCAAGCTTCATCATATGGTTTGAATTCCTATTGTAACGTGGACCAACAAAAGTATTTAGTTGTAAAAACTACACTAGATGTCGCTTAATCGTCGCTTCGAAACGAGCCTAAGCTAAGCGCCCGTAGCTCAGCTGGCAGAGCGGTGGGACGGTACCCCACTGTCCCGGGTTCAAGTCCCGGGGCGGTCGCTAGTGAACTTTTCAATTTTCTCATTTTCAATAAAAGAAATGTTTGTTTCATACCTGTTTAACTTCGTTGCTGGAATGGTATAATTGTATTCTAGATAGCTTGGCCCGATGAATGTTAGCTCTGTCAGCTTTTGTGAATCGTAGAACCTGTAATAAACAAAAATATCTATAATTTTTTATACAGAAAATCTTTTATCACTATAAAGATGGGTCAGCCTGTCGCCTAAAATTGCAATACACATCAACTCTCAAATCCCTTAGTCGCTTCTTACGACACCCACGGGAAATATATGAGGTGATGCTATTCTAAGCTGGCACCACACGGCAACTGAAGAACAATAAATCTATCTATTCTCGTTTACTTTCTCTTTCTTAATTAACACCAGAATACCTGCATAATAATATGCAAAGCTAATGTATGCATGTGCATAAACAGTGGAGATATTTTTTGCAAAGAATAATGAACTTATGTAATAGTTTATGCAAATTAATACGGAATAAGAATGATTGGACTACTAGCGACCCAACAGCGGTTTCACTAGCTGCAACTAATTTTCTCGCATGTGTTACACAAGTATTACAAAAATCCGCATCAAAATCCGTTGCGTAGTTTAGGAGGAGTTAGCGACAGACAGACAGAGAAACGATAAAGGCGACTTCATTATAAACTATGTACCTATTGAAGATACAAAAAATATTAAGAATGGGCCAACATAAGCGGGAATTTTGCTAGAATCCCCAAGTTTGCCTAACAAGTTGAAATATAAAAAAGAAGCTCCTTTATAAAAATGACCGATCAACTGAATGCAATCTCTAGATGTCGCTGAAAGTACTATAGTGAAACAAATCAAATAAGAATCATATTGATTCAACTGTAGGTAGGTACTTACTACTAGAATAACTTAGGTACCAAACCAAAACATGGTACCACTGTGGTAGCAGTACGGTAATGCCTGTCAATTTATTCTAGTCTGATTTGACTTCATTTTGGCTATTCAAAATCGGCATAGGACATAAGTTCATTTACGAATTAGTTTCTTTGCATATCGTGTTTGGGGACAATCAAATGCAAGCCAATATCTTGAAGGTCAATATGTATAAGCTTTCATTGTATTAATATTATTAAAATTTAACATGATGTCATAGTCACGGTATTCGGTTCATATCACATAAAGTTCTTAGAACTCTTATCAAAATGTAACTAAGGTGTAACTGAAATATACTTACTTATTGTAACGAAAACTTTACAGGTGGCTCAGACCATGAAACTAAACAATTTTCCCTTTGGTACATTAATGATAAATAATTTTTAATCCTGCATCAAATCAGTCACGTGGAGGTTAGGATTTTTTTTCTCGTTTCCTGTGTATGCGTGGTTTTCCTTTCTTTTTTTTTCAATATTTTTGCATTCACATAGTAGTTTTAGTTTTTTAACATTCAGCACATGCATGCAACATGTACTCACCTACTATGCATTTTCAAGCATGAACAGACAAAATTATTAGCGACATTGCAAGCATATAATCAGGTAGTAAAATTAAATGGTTAATCAAGTTTAATGTACAGTCTCTCACGCTAACTCATAAACCATTATGTTTTTAAGGTTTCGATTTTCTTGTGATTGATTGTGACAAGCCGGGCAAAAACTATGTTGTACGATTCAGTAAATGTTGCTGCTTAGAGAAAAGTAACAATTATTTCCACAATAAGTTACAGTCTGAAATATATGTAAACCTTGAATTCTGGATTGTTCATGAGTGAGCGGGAGAGACCGTACTATCGCCAGCAAATCTACTTACCCATTCTAAGGAATCAACTTATATTGGTTTTAATAGGTATTTGTATGAGAAACCAATATAAGTTGGTCCCTCAAATGGGTAGGTGGATTTGCTGGCGATAGTATACATCTGCCCCGGTAAAAAAGTATGCAGACTGATAGGTGGAGGTTACTAACTAACAAATTGTGATTAATTGGATTACTTGAGTAACAATGTTCAGCAGGAATACAAACCGTAAGGGTTTCCGGTAGAAACATTTAAGAACAAATGTAATTGATTGTAAGGCCAACTTTACTTTTCTTTTCTTTTGCGTCTTGCATTAAGGTCTTATTTCTGTCACTTTCTCTAGTAAGTAACAGAAAAGAGACAATAGTATGACGATTAGCTTATTTGTCTGCCTCTAAAATGTCAATCATGAAAAAGGGCAAAAAGGCAAAATGTAAAATAGGCATACTCTATCTTTAGTCTATGTAAAATTCAAAATCAGTATTAATAAATAACTGAGCGATTGAATACCTAATCTAATAAGAACAAATTACAACTGCAGACTTTCATAACTATAGTACCATACTTATTTATTACTTTAAGTACCCACAGCCGCTGAAATAAGACCTAGTATGGCCATATTCAACGCCATACAGAAGACATGTCATGTCAGCATTCGAGAGGCTGTACTTTATAAGCATTTTTGTACTCACTCTGGCAATGCAATGTTGAAGAATTTGTCCAGCTCCTCCCCAGTGCAGTCGATGTGGATGTGCAGTTTCCGCAAATGCTTCTTGAACAGGCGTGCTAGGAACATGTTCTTTTCTAACTGGCTCACTTTTAATTCCATGTGTTCTCTGGTAGGCAAAGAAAATAATCAGGAAATTAATTCATCACTTCGATTATATTCAATCTGTAAAGAACAATCAAATTATCCTGATAGATGGAGCCCTGTCAAGAGATATTGGTCAAGACACACTTGCATTATTTCGCAGGCTACGATTTAGCCACGGTAGTCCAATTGTTTTAGGTGTCGCAGGTTCAAATCCTGCCTTTTGACAAAACGGTAGATACAACATTACTGACTTAATGCTTGCGCTTACTGGCAAAGCTATTTAAACAATTAAAGCACTAAACTAAGCACTATATTTGTGTTTGGTAGGGATTAAACCCACAACCCTCGGCCTGACAGGTATGGATATTAGAAAGAAAGAAAGAAAGAAAAATGTTTATTTTTTACCAAATATTCCAAACACAATAAACTCACATTAACATAAATACAACACATAGGTAACAAAAAGGTGTCCACTCAGCAAAAGCTTTAAAAGAGTACACTCTCAAAGCGCTGGTCTTCCGTGGAACCAGAAACATGGCAACAGAATAAAAATGGTGTAACAATAGAATTTCTTATCCTAGAATATACTAATGACAGCATCTTAAGCCCAGTGTAGGATTACTGTGAATAGGTACCTAATTCACATCATACATAATTATATAAAACATAAATAAATAATACAAGATAACCAGAAATAACCACAGCGAATAATAAAACTACAGACTTTACCTAAATGAGATCAAGAAAATAAAATTAAATTAAACTTTAATTTTGAATATTTTTGTAACTCTGCTTAGTAAAAAATATATACTATATTTATAACTTAAAAATATACATTATTATTTATTAATTTATTGAAGAATAACAGGGTACAACTGCATGTTTAAGACTGCTTTTGATTTTCTAAAATGTGTTTTTTAAGTTTAAATTTAAACGAACTAATAGACTTCGAGTTTCTTATCGGAGGGGGTAAGTTATTCCAGCATTTCGTGGCAGCATACCGAAAGCTGCCACGAAAAGCAGTTGTACGGTGTTGGTGACTAGTGAGACGGCTAGCAAATCTAATAAGACGATCAGAGAAGTTCAGCTTCTGATATAAATACTGTGGAGTTTTGTTTTTTATGACGCCGAAAAGCAATGTTGCGAAATGTAACGAACGCCTTGATGCCATAGGTATTCATTAAGTTATTCTTATTTAGGAAAGGGGTGACATGAGCTCTTTTTGGAATTGGAAAACAAAACCGGGCACAAGCGTTTTGTAACCTTTGTATGTATTATTATGCATATTGAGCCAGTCGCTGGCTTTTTTTCTGCATAGGATGTTGTCATACTTACTTGCATCCCTCATAAACGAGCAACGCATTCCGCCAGTTCCGGCAGACGGACATGGTGCTGACGGCATCTTTGAATGTCAGGTGGTCGAGCACTATCTTCATTGGGACGAGAGGCAGTCGGTCCCAGCCTAGCCCCACCATCTGTGAAGACAATAAGTTATTTAACCCTCTGCTTAAGAGGTGGGGTATTATAGACCCCTAACAATAAACTTTTGGAATGATTGAATCTGATGAACTTGTTTATGTTATCTTGTTATTACTCATACATAAACCCATTTATTTCCAATTATTCAAGTTAATTTTATCAAAATATGATCAATGTTAAGTAAAACATTATAAACTTGTGTGCAACTTCAAACTTTGAGAAAGTTTAAGTTTGAATTTGGGGTCTAGCAGGGTCTATTATAGCAAACCCCACCTTGTATATGAGGTTTATATTTTTCACCTGGTTTGTGGAGGAGGGTTAAAATTCAAATTGTGCCTTTCCTTCTAACATAAGAACATTGCCTCACCCTCACTTTATTTCTATCAAATATAAAAGACGCAATAACTCCCAGGCCTCAGGCAGCAAGTGTTTTTGTTTTTTATTAAAGTTATAATAGACTTGAACCATTTACATTCAACATTAAACATTGTTATTTTAATTTGTTCTATTCATCATTCATTTAAGTAGGTATGATGCATTCAGTTCTAAAAACAAAAGTTCACCTACTAACCTATTGAATGAGAGGCCTCAAAGAATTAGTCCATTGATCAATGTGGTACCAATTTTAAAGGCAGATATTTATACAGCAACATTGACATGCAGCATTGTATATCAATAACTTCATGCATGTGTGTTGCCGGCGATGTTTTAATGCTTGTAAACATTGTATCAGCAACATTTGAACAAATGTGGACAGTTTTTCTTTAGATATGTAGCTTTTTTATACATACAATGTTGCGCGTCAATGCTGCTAAATAATATCACTAAACTAAATTAATATGTGCCTTTACACAAAAGTTCACCCACTTAATCTATTGTAGAAAGTGAATGAGAGGCCTCAAAGAATTACTCCATTGATCAATCT